GCGTCAAAATTGGATGCAAAGGGACCTTTGAAAAACGTCAATATGTGACGACTCGGGAGTGAGAATGTGTCCACAAAACACATGTAGACCGGTTGGGCGAACTCCCATGCACCCTCCAGGACCCTGCTGAGGGTGTAGAGCTGGTCCAGTGTTCCACGACCAGGATGAAAACCACACAGCTCTTCCTGAACCCGAGGTTCGTCTATCTGACGGACCCTGCTCTCCAGGACCCCCGAATAGACCTTACCAGGGAGGCTTAAGAGTGTGACCCCCCTGTAATTGGAGCACACCCTCCGGTCCCCCTTTTTAAACAGGGGGACCACCACCCCAGTCTGCCAATCCAGGGGTACTGCCCCCGATGCCCATGCGATATTGCAGAGTCGCGTAAGCCAACACAACCCTACAACATCCAGAGCCTTGAGGAACTCCGGGCGGATCTCATCCACCCCAGGGGTCCTGCCACCGAGGACACACAAAGTGTAATTACATCAGACGTTGACGTTACACATGGCTGTAGTAAACAGTAAGTAGTTACAAACTCGCAGACTTATACTTCTCAGGACAATATAGAGTTATCAGGAACGTGTTGCTACTATCACGAGTGTTGTAGTTACTCTGTCATATCAACTAGTATTAGCAATGTTACATGCTGTCTAAAAATATATAATTCTCTTCATGTTATGGGAATAATTTTATGAATAAAATAAAATAAAAAATAAAAAAGGGAAATGTCCGCTACGTCAGAACTTATCAAGCAAATGTGTTTCCATCTCCCCTTTTGCGCATTAACTCTTTTTCAGAAGATCCAAAAACCACCTCAAGCGAGCGTAAAAACCTTTGCAAAATAGAGGAAGTTTTTGTGAATTTTGTCATTTCCATTCCCCTTTTTTATTTTTATTCTCTTTCTTTTTCTCTCTTTTATAAACCACTTCAGTAGAAAGCATATCTGAATATTAGTATCTTAGCTTCTTCATCATCAGTGTTTTTTTATATATAGACAAGAAAGAAGACGAAAGAAAGGAAAAGAGAAGGAAAGGAAAGAAAAGTTACAATGTAATGGAAAAAAGTGAAAGAAAGAATTGATGATATGTGATATATACATCAAGAAAACAATACAATCCATCCAAAATCTGTCTGTCCATTCCCCTTTTCTAACGCAATGCTTCAAAATGCACATAAAAGATGAGGGAAACACAGCGATTGACTGCAGGATTCAACTCTGTCTGTTAGCAAAATATTTTATGAACCATCAAACACATTTTATAAAAGTTCTAACAGTAATATTGAAAGTTTACCAATAACTTAATATTTATAGTCACCCAAATTCAGCATCTCCAACAGAACTTTTGGTAAAGAGTTAACCAGAAAAACACTCTAAGCTCTGACTGCGATATGCAACGCCTTTAAGGAATGTTGTTTTTATTGGCCAACTAATTATAGCATTAAGTCATTAAGGCTGTCCTGCCTTAACCATCAGAAGAAATAAAAGGTTTTTGGATTTAAGTGGACAAAAAAATAGGGCTGCATTAAATTAGAAAAACCTGCGATGCGTGGTAACAGTGCTTAATATTGTGATGGTGTTGTGACAATGAACAAATATATAAGTATGGTGTTGATGTCTTTCTGCTCTGGTTCAGAGCAAAAAAAAAAGAAAAAAAAAACAAGAACAACTAATCATTTTAATTCCAACATTTTTTTAAATATGAAGAGTTTTATCCAATTGGCCAAAAACATGAGGAGCTCCATTTGATTGGTGAAACACTTCAAGCTTCCATCTGAGTGACAAAACTCATAAATGCAAACTTTTGAGCCAACCATTTATTGCAGTTTCTGCAGTTTTTTGCAATATGCATATTCCACAGGCTGTTATCGCGATGACAATAAATTTTTCATAAACTGTGCAGCCTTAATAAAAAACAAGCAAAATACGTATTCCTACAAAAAATAAGACAATGGGTTTCATGCAAGAACCGTTTGTACGCACAGATTTGTTCTTAAGTTGTGCGTACGAGTGATTTAGGAGAACTTGTGGCATTCACCAATGTTTTCGTATTCTAAG